GGGGATTGGGAATTATGATTTTCATTTATTTTAGTTAGTGTGTCTTATTTAAATTGGGTGAGCGGATTAAATTATCTTAAATAGGTGACCATCTTTAAATTGGAAGAAAAAGAAATCCACATATGCGCCATGTAGGAAAACAAAGGCGGGACATGGCGATCTATCGGATGAGGGGCAAATATGATCCTAAAGTATAATTGTAAGGATAAATATGTCAAAAAAGTATAATGATGGGCAAATGTAATCATTTTTGAAGAGTAGAGGGGTAAATACGATCTTAAAGTATAACGAATGGCAAATGTAACTCGTTTTAACGTGTAATGGATAAATATGAACCTAATGTATAACTGTAGGGATATTTTTAATAAAAAACTTAAACAGAGGATAAATAAGACCTATTTATGATAGTAGAGGGACAAATCGACTCTTATCCGTTTTATGTATTCTAATTTCTACCTCAATTGGAGGGCCAATATGTAATTTTGTGTGGGATACATTTATGAAAAGTTGGACCGAAAAAATGTACTAAACGGATTCGGAGTGATTCTGTGATATGATAAGCAAGATTATACAATTCTAAACTTAACTTTTGCCTCACTAAAAGAGGAAAAGAGTACTCTAATTACTTTATTTTAATCCTTTATTACTAATGAATGCCCCCACATTATTAGTAAGAGACCCCACCTTTAATTTTGCTTTGCGTGTTCTTTGAGAACAAGGATGTCAAATTAAGATCTGTTGCATCTTGGGGCACACACCTTAGATCCTAACCAATATTTTCACCAGTATTTGCTCACACATTAATCTAATCCAAATCCTGATTACAACCGTCAGATAAGAAGTTTCACTATCTTGATTAAAATCTACGGTCTAAATTCAAGCCTTCTTATCTCCGTAGACCAGCTGATGATAACAGTAAAGTAGAATACCATCATTGCCTACAATGGTCGGTAGGTCACAGCGGACTGGCGGGCCCTACTTATTGTACACGTGTTATAAGCACAAAATTCTTATCCTTTCAGCTGTGCCACGTGTCGAGAAATTCCACTATTGTTGATTAGTACTTAGTACCACTAATTAAATACTCCAATTATATTAAAGCTTTTGAGATTACTTAACTGGGGAAGCTACTGACGACTGAGGAAAAGTTGCGGTTTAAAATCGGTTACAGGCTTACAGCTGGCAGTCGTCAGTGCAACACGTTCACAAAATGTCGAAGCTTTCTCTCTCCTCCTTCTCTCCTCCTCCGTTGACGTCGTCTTCTTCCACCTCGCAGCAGCGACGGAGCTGCTTCCGTCGTTCATTCAGAGTCGGCGCGTGTGTTTCACTTTCTTCGGTTTCCGTTTCGTGTTCGAAGCAGCCGACAGTTGTTGTCACCAGAGAACGCGGCAAGAACGGCAAGCTCATGAATTCTCTGGTACTCAATAAGAATTTCAACATTCCGGTTATATGCTTTTTTTTCCTTTTCAGTTTAAATTTGGTTCTCATGAATAATGTTGAAGTTCTAGGGTTTCTGTGGTTGTTTCGTGGTGGTTCAGTGCTAGTGATTGTTGCGAGATATAATTTTTTTGCGTAGGCTATGTTTTGGTATGTTTTCGGTAGCTACATTGGGATAAAGGAAGTGACACATTAGATGTTTGATCAAATGCTTAAACAAATTAAACTGCTTAGCTGCTGATCACTTGCATTTCTAGGATGAGTACGATAGAGTGGAGAAAGGAAACAGTGAACTGCGAATTAGCCTGTCGAAAAGAAAAAAACTGCAAATTAGTCTAAAAATCAAGAGGAGTTTGGTTTAGCGGTTCCATGAGGGACTAGGCATAGCTTAGAAGAGAGTGTGTTCATAAACTTGATTCAACAAAGTCATCGGAAGGATGTGGTGAAGAGAATAGAATCATGTGCAGAGCTTTTTTCTGTTTCTCGCGTTCTGGATTTACAATTTGGTGTGTTTGGTATGAAGGAAATATTGTTCAAAAGAATTTGAAGAATAAGTCATTTTCTGGTGTTTTCTTGCCAGAATGAGGCGTAATTTCAGCTCTTAACTTCATATCAATGCTTCAATATTATTTAGACATTATTATCAATCTTTAATACTCGGAAATTTCATAAAGCATTATCCAATTTGATAGCACTATTATCAATCTTTACGAATATTTTTTGCAGAAGATATTTTCCACTCTACCAAACACCGCAAAGTATTTTCCAGAAAATGACTGTATTTTTTGGAAAATGTTTTTCTGTCATACCAAACACACATGTTCATGAATGGCCTGCAATACCTTTTTGTTTGCTTTCTATTTGGGGAAAAGAAAAGGCAAATGAGTGATAGAAATTTCAAAAGAATTTCTCAAATCACGTGGTTATCTCCTCGTGAATAGATAGATATGATTTAAATGAAGTAGAAAAACAATGTATCCATAAAAAGCATTTAAGAAATCGTCATGAGCGAGAGAAGGTGGGGCAAACAACTTTTTAATCCGACCAAATTTCTAACACCAAAGATCGTGGTGATCTAGACTTGATAAATGTGGGGCAAACGACTTTTTAGCATGGATGTCTCTCTAGGAAGTAGTAAATGTAGTATCTTCAATAATTATGTTTTCCCTCCTCTCTTGGTTACAGGCCAGACATGGAATTGATTGTCTTGAGCTTCCTCTCATTCAGCACATGCATTTACCTGATCTAGGCAGGCTCACTTCTGTATTAAGTGGTAGGTTTCTTGCTATCTGTGCATTGGCTTGAAAATCTTTGTTCATATTTACTTGCCCAAGATTAAGCGTTGAGCATCGGTGTAATTTATTTTTCTATGGAATTTTCCATTTCCCTTCATTGCCCAAATTGTAGCTATTTTCTACTATTGGCTTTGATTTGTTTTAGAAAATATTCTATCTACAGGAAATCTGTTTTGAAGGTTAGATTGGTGCTCTAGAAGTCTGAAATTATAATTTTAAACAGGGTAAATTGATGTTCTTTTCTTAGAATATAAATTTTCTCGAGCTCTCAGGGTCAAATGACACTTCTTAGGATCCTGCATGATTATCCTTTATTGAATGTGCAAAACCGAAACTTTCTAAGCACTAATATTTCTTTTTTATGGATTGTGGCGGGTTTGGGTTTGTGGGTGNTTTGAGATGACATTTTTGGAATAACAACATATTACGTCTTCAGACACAAAATTAAGTGAAGCCATTGCTTTAAGATATTACCATAGGCTATAGCAATTGTAAACAGACAAGCTAAGTTGCACTTCCATTACTTTATTGTTATTGCTATTGCTGTTATAAGTACTAATCAAACTTCCATTGCTATATTATCCAAGGCTATAGATATTGTACACTTAAGATTAGGCCCATTTGGTACTTCCATGAATTACTTTATTATTATTTCCATTGCTGAAACTAGTACTACCGTTTACTACTTCCTCTCATTTGTGAAATTCACGAATGCAACAAATGAGTATGAACACAAGCTTGAGTGCGATCTTTTGAAAAACAAAAAACAAGCTTGATTGCGGCAGCAGCCACGGTATGCGTAGCATGTAACCTACCTTCCCTCCTTGAGACTATATGAAGTTCTAATTTTCAGTTATACCTAGGTTTCTAAAAGTTGGGGTGGGTTTTATTTCCTTCTCATTAACAAGCTATACTCTTAGTTACTAAATAAATTATGCTAGATGATTAATAAGAAGAACATTTATGCTTCAGGAAAAATGACATATTTAGGCTTAATAGAAAAGAAATTTCAATAAACATGAACAACATATAAGACAAGTAAAAAGGAATGTTGCTCTTTAATATCTCTCAAATGGCCCCACAAAATACGTAGAACAATATTTCTCTCACTTGCATGGGTATCTTGCGTGCCTCTGTGCATCCATTATAAATTACTATTGATTGGTGTTCGATTATAATTCATAGCGAACTATATCAGCAAACTCTATGACTGTGAAAGTCCTCATTAAACATATGTCCTCTGGTGTCTTGAGTGGCACTAATGTTCTTTCTCCTTTCTTCTTGTGATAGCAGACGCCGCGTTTGACTGGATTATCATTACTTCACCAGAGGCGGGAAAGGTTTTTCTTGATGCTTGGAAGTAAGGGCTAGGTTGAAATTTTCCATTAAGGAGGGTTAATCTTGTCTTAAGCTCTTCACCTTGTTATGTTGAATAACTAATGTATCCTTTTGACAAGTCTTTAATATCGTTCCTCTGTTGGGGAAAATCTCTGTGAAGTTTGCTTTAAAAGTATAAAAATGTTGAGCAGTATACAAGACCTGATGTTAATTTGAGTCATTTAGTGTTTGACTTGTCTGTAAAACTAAAGTCATTGAAGGTGTTTGATAATATTGCTGCTTGCTTGTGTAGACAAATTGGGTTTTTTTATTTATTTATTTTGAGCAGCTCTTTTTTGATTATTCTTTCAGAAAGTTTTAGAATCTTATCTACTTGTTGAAGATGTTTCGTTCGACTCCGTAAGCTGAGATGCAAATACTTCCTATATGTTATGGTTGGTTATTCTCATATAAAGTCTTGATTATCCCCTTAATTGATAAGTAGTTTTATGTGACACAGTTTTAGTATGAACCTTCCATCCATTGTGGACATATTCCTTGAAGAAGAATAGAAGCTTGTATAAAAGATTCTCAATAGATTGATTTTCAGCATACACAATTAGCAAAAATCATTAGTGTCTACAGTAATGTGTGTACTTACGTTGTCAGATGAAGTTTTTTGACTAAAAATGGTACAAATATTTAGTTCCCAGAAAAGATGCTTTCCATTACAGTTAATTTCTTGATAGAAGCTTCAAATTCTTTAAGCTGCCTAAATGATCTATATTTGCTTTTGCACTATCTGGTTCCCTCATGTTTCTAATTTGCATTAGAGCTGCTGGGACCCCATCTGTCCGAGTAGGTGTCGTTGGATCTGGTACAGCTAGCATATTCGATGAAGCTGTTCAGTCTTCAAAGCAGTATCTTGATGTGGCATTTACACCATCAAAAGGTATTGAGTCAATTTTTCACTTTTTCTTTGACATTTAAAACATAGCATACGCCACAAACATGTGCGTCGAGGCTGACACTTGTATTTGTCATTTCGTTTAGACCCTTGTATTTGCAGAAAATTTGACTAAATTTAACTGATATTTTCTTTTTCGTCACTGACTGAAAACTTCTTTTTGATTGCATTTTCAGCAACTGGTAAGGTTTTAGCTTCAGAGCTTCCAAAGAATGGGAATGATAAGTGCACTGTTCTCTATCCTGCTTCAGCAAAAGCGGGCACTGACATTGGTGTGCATGATATTGCTCCTTCTCTTTATGTTTCTGTCTCTCCTCATTCTCCCATTCATCCAATTTTTTACAGAAATCTCTTTTTCTGTATGGAACTCTTAGTTTCTATGGAGGTGTCTTTCTATTTTCAACCATTATCCAAAAAAGTTAAAAGAAAAAAATAAGGTAAGGAAAGGAATAACCACAAAAATCATGGCTTCCTTTCCTTTTTACTAGTCGTAATTAGTACAGAGATCAGGATTCATCTGATATCTGCAAGACTGCAACTGTCTCACCTTGATATTTCGTACTTAGTATGGAAATTTTCCTCAGCGTATGAAACTATGTGAAGTAATCTTGAACGACATACGGCTTTTTATTTCAGAGGAAGGACTTTCTGAGCGGGGATTTGAGGTTACTCGGTTGAACACATACACAACGGTACAATATTTCTTTATTGCATTTTGGAGAAAGATTCATTTATACTCACATGAGACTAGTGTGCTTGCAAATTTGGTTAACACATACTTACCCTGAAGAGAGGGTCACTTGTCCTTTTATCCTGATAAATGGTCAAAGTTTTAGCTATCACACTGCCTCTTGGATCCTTAAGTTGATCTAAACTAATTAGACCTCATCTTGTTGCGTATAATGTATGTCATTTCTTGCAGGCACCAGTCAATCAGGCTGATCAATATCTTCTTGAGCTAGCACTCTCTGCTCCTGTTGTTGCTGTAGCATCTCCCTCTGCCATCCGGTAGGACGCTCCAAAATTGTTCGTTCTTGTAGCAAATGTAAACGGATGATCTATTGATGTCTAATATTGGCATAAGCAAGCACTAGGTTCTATAGCTAATGTTTGTAATTCCGCCAATATACTAGAGAATATTATGCATAAATGTTTCTAGATATTATTCATTGAGCCAGGGGACAGAAATGCACCATTATGTTCTTCATCCTTTTCCTTTCTCATTTTTTTTCATTTTGCTGAGTTATGTGACAGGGTATGGACTAATCTTATTCCAGCATCGAGACAGTGGGACAATGCTGTTGCATGTATTGGGGAGACTACAGCTTCTGCAGCTAAAAGACTTGGGTTGAGAAATATATACTATCCAACAAGTCCTGGTCTTGAAGGGTAACTTGTTGATTTAGTATCTTAATGTGTTCTTTTGTTGCATCTTTTCTCCCTTTCTGTTTGTGTCCGTGATTTTATAAGATACGTTGACTCTATCTTGTAAAGCCAATATGACAATTGTTATTTTTAGTGCCCACGTTTGCCCCGTGTAGTTGGTATGATCTTTTTCGCTTGGAAGTAATATTCACTGCCCGTCTCTTCTAGGAATTGGCTGTGGGAAGAGAATAAAGTGTCAATATAAGAATATGTTGCATTCTTTTCTTTTTGATGACCGAGAAATCCGTCTGGGGCCGATCCTTCGGACCAACCGCAGCCTTCGAAACTCGGTGGATAATGGGCCCGCCCCTCTACCCTTCTCCACTTAAATACCAGGCTTTGCTTTGCATGGTGTGGGGGGCTTGAACCTGTGACCTAAGACACAAATCCACCACCCTTTGCCACTTGAGCTAGGCCCTGGGGGCGCATTCTGTTATGCCTTTTTCTTTCTTCAAAAGATTTCTTAGTGTATATATTTTTTGTCTGTCCCTCCTAACCTGGGTTGTTTTTTATTTGAATTATACAGATCAACCAGTTAGAACCCTGATGGGAACAGCTTCGCAGGAATTCAATTTCCATTAGTATTATACCAAACACTGCATTAGGGCTATCTCTGAGCAATTTTAACCTTACTGTAACCAGCGAATATCGTTTGTTTGACCTTTTCGAAATTATGGAACTCACTTCTTTCAAAAGTTCACCTACAAAACACTTAAAAAGTTCTAAGATCCACCTTTTTATTCCTACCTATTACCACATTTTTCTTGCGTCTTCATGATGGCTCTATATTACGTCACAGTAATTAATTAAAGGGTAATTACTACTACTACATTCTGGGGTTATCATTTTATTAAGTAGCTTTTATTGAAGGGGTACATTTTATTAAGTAGCTTTTTAAGGGCAAGGCGCTGCTGCTATCTAGCCACTTCTTCAGTGCCCCTGATCTTGGCAATCTAAACTCCCGTCTGACTGGAAGGTTTTATGCTGAGTAAATTGGGTGATGTTGTGACTTGGGATTACTACCTCTCCTGCCCATGGGATGGTTAACCCCAATGCCGTTGTTTCCTTCAGTAACTTTTCTTGAACAGGGTGTGCTTGTTTAATGGTGTCACCAGTAAACCCTGTGACAGTGGCAGGTTTTGTTGTCAAGATTGGCAGCTCGTCGGAAAGAATTGTCTAAAATTCTAGTGTTTTATTGAACTTACTTATGAAGTATTAGCCATTCAGTCAAGCGAAACTGGTATCTTCTTTTCTCTTAGGCTGTATGCGGCTCTGCGCCCTTTTTCACAGGATAACACTTCTCTACGAAGTAAGTGTTAAAAGAAAGCTAACTCTGACTACCTGAAGGCTGTTAATTTCTTGCTGATGCTTTTAGGCATGTAGTGAGATATGTAGGAGGAGGCAAGGGACTATATATTGGTTTCCATTTTCCGTTGTGTGTTTGTAAGATTTGCTTAAATTTGATCTACTTTATGCTATGATCACATGGTGCAGGTGGGTGAGTAGCATTCTGGAAGCATTAAGTGTACATGAGCAAGTACAGAAGGTCTAAAGGCCATGTAATGTGGCTTCTGGTAAATTCTTTTTCCAAAGTTCATATTTATTATCACTGGCTATAAATGCATAATAGACCAACAAACAGACATGCAGACATGTTTAAAATGATTAATGTGCACGTCGCTCTGAAATAGTTTATGTGTTACTTACAAAAAATTGTTGTATCTTCAGATGGTGGGCTGAGAGAGCTCTGGTTCCACTCTATGGTCATCTTTGCAATGGCAAAGCTGATTAAAAGCTTTCTATACATGCAGCTTCAACGTGGCGCTGTATTTTGAAATCTTTGAAGTATTTATGTATAGAAGCGCAGAGGGAGGTGTAGGATCTAATTGACACAGCATATGTGGAGACGTTGGGGAGACGAAATTTTTTTTTTTGCGGAGGTATTTACCCACTTGTCTAGCCAACTTTTCTTGTGAGGTAAGGCTGTCTTTTGTGAATAGGATCTTTTTTAATTGTTCCATATGTAGATATCCCTTTAGTTTTCTCTTTTAACATTTTTTTGGCTTGATGTCTGATGTCTTCAGAATTGATTATAAAGCGAGCCCCTCTCGGTTCATACTCCAACCTAAATTTCCTCAAAAGAGAAACATGTTTATCTAACTTTTAGCCATTCCTCGTAATGCACAACGTATTGATTTTTGTAATCGTTTACTTCAAGTACTCAAATCTTGTGCTCCATTTGTAAGTATCTGCATGGGTAACTCTGGCAGTTTATAATTTTTCATTGTATTATTCTAAGGAATCAACTGAAAAGTAGGGTAACATAACACCTCTATGGAGGGCTCTCTCATCCAAACATCTGCAGAGATTACCATCTTATGCTGTAGATGCCGAGTTCTTTACGGTTCAAACCTAGAGGTGTGTGAGACCGCCTACATCTCGTGATTGCTTTGTAAGTTCGCGCTCCTAGTAGTGTTTGTTCAGTCTGCTTTTTATGGTTTTGCGTGACATGATTTTTTCCATAGTTTAAAAAAGTATATTAAGTTTCCTCACGCCAATAGTTAGATGGTAATTGAGAAAAGTATTGCGGGACTAGGAAGTAAACCAACCAAAATATCCACTTGTTGTTATAAAATATATTTTTTTTGGGTCCATTTGTGTTATGTATTATCCTGCATTGAAGACAGGGAGAACTTGCCTTATAATCATGGTGAATGCACGCTCTAATAAATTTAACAGTAGCGTCTTATCACTTTGTACAATACCATGGGCGCTGTTGTGTTCATGGGATATGAGGCTGTCACTGGAGATCTTTCATCTGTATCTCCAATGTAATTGTTTTCTCCACGTGCTCATTGCGTCATTCTTATTCTTATGTGTTTGATACATATGGTAGTGGAAATTGGCATGCGTGGAAACCAAATGTATATGTTTTGGTATTAAAATGTCACTTGGAGGGACTTTTATGCGTATAAAATATAGGAAATGTCTTCTAACTTTCCATTCCAACGTCGTTTCTTGGCTCATCTGGCAACGTCGTTTCTTGGCTCGTCTGTCTTTTGCCACATCATGATTCAGTCTTTCTTAATTATTTTCTGTTGAAGTCCGTAATTCTGTTTGTGACAATTTTTTCTGCATTTTCAGTTGGTTTTCAGGAGAGAGGTACATAAGAGTTGAGCTAAATGACACGCGTTAACACACTTTTCTTACTTAATTATGTTAATGAATATACATTCTCACTGAATTGAATCACTTAATCATGGTCATGCTTATTTTATCTTTTTTTATACTAAATAGTTGAGGAAAAATCTGAATTTGATTATGACATTCTTTTTTATAAATATTAAAAACTTCAAGTACATAAATAATTTGACAAAACGTTATTTAATCTATTAACAATGGGTTCTTATAAAACTCTAATTAAGTATTCGTCGTCCACTTTTATTTGTATCTTCTTGTTAGTTTTCCAATTTAAAGTTATTCTATTTTGCTTTTCCCGTTAATGGATGACAGTAACAAACGCGCGCTAATTGGAGTTGGATATATGTATCTTTTGATGAGTTTTATGTATGTTCTTTTTATTTCATTGCATTAGCATTTGTCCTAAAAAAGTTATGAGTTTTTTTCCGGAAATTAGAAGCCTTTAGCATTCTACATTTTACATTGATATGCAGATCATCAGCACTGAACTAGAAAAAACTGAAAGCCTAACGGGAAACATGAGATATGATGCAAGTATAACAGCATATATAAGCCTTAAACCCAACAGTGACAGCTTTAATTAATGTTCATGATAAGATGAGCAGTACTGTGGTGGAAGATAGTGCAAGCGGGTTGAGAGTAAAAAGACCTTGGGAAAGCGTTTCCCTGGACTTCATCACCGGATTGCCCAAGGTCGGAGATCTCACAACTATCTTGGTTGTGGTGGATCGGTTTTCCAAGTATGCTACCTTTATAGCAGCCCCACAATATATATCAGCAGAAGATACAGCTCGACTATTCTTCTCTCATGTCGTCAAGTATTGGGGCTTACCTAAAGACATTGTTAGTGATCGCGACTCACGCTTCACTAGCAATTTTTGGAC